CTGCAGGAGCATGGGGCTGGGGATAGGTCAAGCATTAATTTCTGCTATCTTATGAGTTCTCCAAATCCATTACTCACTCCACATGGACAGAAATTGGCAGTCTGGTGTAAAATTCTCTAGTATTTCTACAATATAAAACAACATGAACTAACTTGCAATGGCCTGCCTATGATATTAATTTCTCATAGGTTTAATTTTTTTGGCTACAGTGTATTTTCATGAAGGATGTAATTAAGAGAATTTCACTTGAATTGGAGCATCTAGACACGAGTATAAAAAAGTGAAACTCAACTGAAAACTATTGTAAGTAACTTTGTCAAAGAGACTTGGAGGCTGCATGAACAAGGACAGAGAAACTGAAGAAAAACCCATATAAACCAATAAATGATGGACTGTCCCAAAAGTCAGTATAATCTGCATCTTAATGCAGGGATGAAGTTAAAGGGCAGATGGTTTTTGGTTTTGGACTTGCTCCTAAATAGACTGAGAAGCAATGGGCCATTCCTTGGTCAGAGTCAAGGAGATTTCTCAGGCAGAACTGTTAGTAACAGTGTTTTGAAAAGAAAGTAAGTTGCTGAAGAGGCATTCCAGTAAAGATATAGAAACATGAACCACCTAGTATGAATACAAACAAAAATGGATGAAGAAGTTGATTGCAACACCCCAATAATAGTAACAGTGTTTTGAAAAGAAAGTAAGTTGCTGAAGAGGCATTCCAGTAAAGATATAGAAACATGAACCACCTAGTATGAATACAAACAAAAATGGATGAAGAAGTTGATTGCAACACCCCAATAACTATAGCCTTATAGCCCAAGAGCATATCTGGCCAGATAAACTGCTTAGGGTCCTATTTTAATTCCTGTCCATGATGATTCCATGAAATAAAGTTCTTGAGGCTTTACTGGTCCATGTAGGAATGACTTCATTTCAACAATGACCAGTACAGTTGTAAGTCACCTGCTGTCTCAGATAAGAAAGACAAAGATAAGCCAACAGGAGAGATTCAGATAAGTCACCAGTGCTAGAATAAAATATCTATCAAAGCCAAAATGGAGGATGATGATACAGACCAAGGAACTCCCATCATGTTTTCACCACCTGTACAAAATAATGAGATGAAATTAAGATTCAGTAGATACCGATGGTATAGTTCCACCACATGAGCATGTTACATTGAAAATCTCATAGCTAAAGAATTAATAGCAACAGTTAGTTGGGCATCTTAGTGCCTCATGATTCAAAATTGGTCATAGAGCAGTGTCTCTACAGCATAGAATGGATGGATATTTAATGCAGTAAGAGTACATACATGTTGATTTTTTAAACAGTTCCTAGTTTCCTGTTCACATAACTTTTATTATAATGACATTGCAGAAGCCAAATTTGCACAGAAAATGTGGAAGACATGGGGCTCATTGATCAGAACATCACATGTCCAATGTGACCTCCATTTTCATTAATCATATGGCACCAAATGGAGAGAATAATTGGGAATAACAAGGGAAGATTGCTTCAGTGCACACAGAAAACATTTCTCCACATTAATTTCCATCACCTGTTGGTGCACCTGAATTTTGCAGGCATATGGAGAAATACTGGAATAGAAAATTGTCCATGTTGCTTAACACAAAATATTAACTTGTGAAGCTTGTCAGACACTCTCTGGGATTGCAGATTAATGTTTGCCAGACGAGCAATATTTTGTGGGGTACATGCACTGTGATGAAATGCTCAGAATGACCCTTTCAACAGTCCCTGACATCACCTATCGATTCAAACTGCTTAAGAAGTCTGGTATTAGTCTTGCTGGATGGTGCATTCCTGGTCTGAAAGTGCTGTCGATACTGTCTTTGCACACTTACAGGCGATTCATTTAGCTTGGAAATACCATTTCACAAGGAACAATTTCTGCTCCTCTGTGAAGGATGTCATATTGCTTCTGCACCATGTTTTTGAACCCACATGAATCTCCATGCCTTCATATTCTGTGCAAATTTGGTCACTGAAATGTTATTGCAAAAAAAGTTATGTGAATTGGAAACTAGGACCTGTTTTAAAAATCTTAAATTCTATACTATGCTACCAGAAGTACTACAGTGCCTGGTGGACGAGTGTCAGGTCAAAGAAATGTCCAATTATTAGTTGGAAATTATGAAAATGTCAGAATCATGCTTTCTGGCTATATCAGACCTTCCAGATCACTTTGGAGATAATTTCTCATATTAAACTTAGAATTTTTTCCAATTTTAAAAACAACCTCCAACATCAACAGTGTACATCCATTCAATTCCTCTGCAAGCAACTGGGGATTGAATTTCACAAATATCCTCAAATTCCAAGAAATTTGGATTTTTCAGACTTCCTTTTCTGATACCTTGACTTTACGATGGTTTCCAGAACCCTGGAATAGAATAGATTAGGCACTAGGTATTCTGTAATAAAAGGAGTGCATTTGGTAGATGCAGCAATTGCTACAAGACACATGCCTTTCCTTGTAAGATATTGTTCTATCATCTGAGAAGGAATATTTAATCCTTTTAGAAGTGGATAAGGCCATACCTAATTACAACCATTTTTTGTTTCTCAGCCTGATTATGTACCAGAACCTATCCAACAAATTACAGTCTAGCATATTCAATCATGTGTTGTCATGTATGCAATGCACCATATCCAGCCAGTTGCTTCATACTTTAAGCTGAAGAGTGATGGATTCATCAAGCATGTGCTTAAATTAGCCAGGCTGCTAGGTGTTAAGGGGGGTTTCCAACAGGGTATAGTACTTGCACACAAGCATTTATTCTTAATACCCTTATATCATAGTATGCCCACAACAAAAAAAGAAGTTATATTGGTTTTTTGTGGATTTCAGCCAGGCATTTGACTCGATTGATTGGAGGATTCTGCGGACAAAGCTAGAGGGATATGGTGTGAGCCTTGGTAGTGGCCACAATCCCAAGATTGAATCACGTGAGCACGTTGAAGTGAAAGTTAGCCATATCCAAACTGTTAAAAACAGCCCATGTTGCACTGAACTTATAGAGCTGTCTTTTGAGGTCTGCTCTGTAAGCACTTCTTGACAACAGGTTGACTTGAAAATTGGCAATCACAGAGATTACATACTGACCTAAATGCCTGAGCAGTGGGAAGTGTATTGCATGTAGACTTACAAATTTACAAGCAATTCTCATTACTTTCTGGACACCCAAAGAACATGGTGATATATGATGATATATAAATGAACCGATTTAATACCTTATATATTATAAATCACTACCAGTAAGACTGCATTATACAAAGACTTGAACGTGTTATTTTGCATACCATTGTCTAATTCTATTGTTTTTAATAAAAGTTTTTTAGGAGTTCAAACATGCTTTCTTACTTCTGGCCCACCCCACCCAGTGAGTGTGTGTTAAAAAGACAGGATGTGTGGCAGACATAAATGATAATAGATGCATTAAAGTACAAAGAAAGGAGTGGGTGTCCACATGGCACAGGCACAACATCTGAATGGCAGTCCTTCAAGGTTGGGACACCCCTGAATGGTCCTATAGATGGCCACAGGGGCAGCTCATGGGTTACCTAAGCCCATGACTGGTATGAGTGGTTTTTAAGTTTCACTGCATCCTCATCTCCTAGATGTACACAGAGTTGTGTGTTATTGTACCCAAAGCAGATACTTCCCATGAAAACAGGCAAGTTGCCTGTCAGTGGAGAGGGAGTCTGCAGCCACCCAGACTCAATTCCAGACCACTCAGTCTCTGAACTCAGTTGAATTAAATTCTTATATCTTGATAGTAATTCACCTGTATGAGATTGATTCAAAATTCAATTTATGTGCCATTTAGTCATTCAAATGCACAACTAGGTGCTAGTTGTGCAACAACATTGCAAATTGTTTAAAAGTAGAGCAGGCAATTTGGTAGTAATGCTTCTACACAAGAAACAATCCTGTCTATAAATAAAAATTTTAACCCTTAGCAGATGAATTTATTTGATCATCTATCAGAATTTTTGGGGTATACTTGACACAGGATTGCAAAGGGTTAATGAAACAGGAATTGTGGCTGACTTTTAACAGGTTCTCAAAAATTCAGCAAATCATGAAGTGGTGGTTCAAACTGGATGGAGCTCTCCACATTATCAACTCATAGTCTGATGGTGGTAGGATGAACAATTTCCTGATGAATGAATAGGCAGATCAGGACCCATGGGAAGGCCTCCAGGCTTTTATTTATGAGGCATAGTGAAGGAAAGTGTTCATGCTAAGATACCCGCAACCTCTCGTGAACTTAAAATAATCACTGAAGCTTTACAGGGAATTAGTTAGAACCTGAGCCAAAGTGTGTAGTTCAACCCTTGGATGCCTATGGGAGTGCCTTGACAATAATGATAAATAAATTTTGTAGGATTTTTAAGAATAATATTGGAATATAATTGAGTATTAAAATGAAGCACGGACATAGTTCCTGCACTTCTTAATGACCCAGATATGAGTATTCAAGTCTGCTCAGTTACACATGGAACACCCAATATGTAGGTATTTTTGCTAGTCATAGAATTGGATTTACCAGGCTTGGGTAAGGTTAAGTGAGCTGCTCCAAAAGCACCACTAAAAAGCATTCCATTTTGATATTTAGCATACCAAATAAGGGGTAGGCTACAATGTTACTTATGAATTATGTGTCTTTGAGCATCAATCCAAACCTGAACCCCGAACAAGTTGAAAAAAAGGAATGAAAATGTAAGAGCATGGCAGAATAAAGAATGTATCATGGTAAATGTTGCTAAGTGTTTGCTTGTGAGAATGGTACCATATCCCACAAGTAGCAACTTGTTATCCTGCTGGTAGGGAACTATATGACAAGAATTCATTGAATTCCTTCATATATGCATAGAAGAAGTTGGCTGTCATTTTCAAATACACACATAAAAAACTTGGTATGGGGCTATATGACATACATGCTAACCTATCTATGTAACAAACAAAAAAAAGTTCATGATGAAGCTGGGACATACTAGGGATCAATAATGCAGAAAACAACATGATGGAGTGCATCTTATAACGGATGAGTAGACTAAATACCTTTTTGGTAGCTGCCAAAGCTGCATTGATAATTGATTCAGGAAGGATGTTTCGCTGTTTCAAGGAAGTAAGAAGTTGAGAACGAGCATTGCCACAGAAGTTGTTGTCCAAAAATGTTGGAAAACCTCGATAGCCATCACCCATCACATACAAAGGGACTCGTATATGTCCAAGGACCTGTCATAAAGCAAAAGGTGCCTTTAGTAACTTCAACTTACACAATTCTAGATGCAAGAAGGAATTCTTGCTGAACCAGTACATTGAATCCTGGGTTTCTTTCAGTCTTTCTCTTATGCTTAAATCCCTCTCTTGCATGAATGAAACATCATGAGGGCCTCTCATTATTGGCAACATTGGCCTAATGATAAAAATGCATTATTTTTGCCCAAAATGAGGCCTGTGGGTTTAGTTCAAATTCAAAATTCAGAATATTAACTTAATGTTTGTATACACCAAGTAATTTTTTGCAAATGCAAGGAAATTACAGTTAACTAAAGGGCCACATCACAGTGACTTAAGTATGATGGATATAAATTCAGTTATAATTTCCAAGTCCATAATGGCAGGCATGAAAAGCATATTCCATGAAAAATAACATGCATAAACCACATCTTCATGCAGCAAATAATTAATTCTGCATCAGACAATAAGCAAACTTTGGAAAATTGCTTTAATTTCATTTTTGAGAAAATTGTTTAGAAGTATGGCTAGAAGATAGAATTAACTGGAGCAAATTTTGTTCAACTAATGGTGTGATACTTCAGATGACCAAGAACCTTAAAAAATTAATATCCAATGCAAATCAAAAGGATATTAATGTTTTCTTTCTTTCCTTTTCTTTTGTTGTTGTTCCATGAAGGATGTTTAAGTGGCGTTAGGAACATACCCAGTAACTTATAACGAAGGGTGTCAAACATGGGAGAGAGCAAAAATCATGCAGTACTGAGTATAAGACATTCCCAATCTATTAAACCACCCAAAACCTGAATGACAGAACTGGGAATGGAGCATATTACATCAAGAATAGTATGATTTGTAAAAGATGATCAAAGAGATCTAATGATAACAGACTAAGACCTTGGATTCAGGCAGACATTGAACTGAGAGAGTGTACTCAAAATATTCTGATGGTAGCTGTTTCAGTCTCATCACATACATTCAACATACATTTCAAACACCCTGTATTTAATCATGAAGGGAAGGGCTTGTATTCAACCAATGCATCCCTGGCTGCAGTTCCAGTGAAAATTTCAACATAAACCACTATTTTTGTTTATGCAGTACAATCCTGACAAACACAAAACAGGAACTGGTGGCAAATTGCTCATTTCACATTCTTGGTCTTTGGCTGACCATTGATCAAGGGGAATGAAGAGTGACCCTGACACTAAATCTACAAAATCAAGTAGCTTGTATTATATAGACATTGCATAGCATTAAGCTCATATGACTCCAACTCATAAAATTCACTGTGAAGAATGATACTGAAGTCACAAAAGGCATAGACCAAGGAAGAGAGTAACTAGGGCTAGCAATGAAGAAGAGAACATCACCTCATGCCCATGCTCTTTGGATGCTAGAGCTGCCCGTTCAATCTCCTCAAACTCTGCTAGAGAGACACACAAGGCATAGAAGTGGCATATGACACGGTTCTTGGCATTCTCGTGTGAAATGACATGGTCTTCATGTTTCACTTGGAAGCGAGTCAGGTCAAGGTTCATCTCCTCATGCAGCTCCCTATTCAAAGCAGGAATAATCTCCTCTCCTGTGTCGACTAGCCCACCAGGGAAACCAAGGTAGCCATCAAATCTCATGTGCATCTAAATGAAGACTAAAATCCCCTTAGGAATGCAAATCACTGGATGAAGGTATTTAATGAAAAGTTTCAAAAACATATGTCGGAGAAAAGAACTAGGCTAGATACACAGAGTTGGGATTTCTCTTCCCCAAATGATTGGAAGGCAGCAAAATTACTTTTGCCTGGATATAAAGGAATATAAACACTTTTTATGATTGTGTATCCAATTGAAACATGTCAAGAAATGGTTTAAATCAATTTACAACTGCCACACCTATAGACTCATTCATAAGACACTATTACTAAAGCATGGGATCTACATATCCAACAAATGGTAACTAACCAATACTGTACTTAATAAAGAGGCTGGAGAATAACATGTAAGTGGAAGGGTCAAGAAAGGATTGCAGAGCACCCCTTTCTTAAGGAAAGATATTTTGGCAAGACCTTTGCTCTGAAACTTGATTGATCTTAAATCTCTTTTCTCAATCTATACAAACTAGTTTAAAGGAAGCAATACATATAAGGTCCCATCTTTCCTGTAAATATCCCTTGTAATACAAATAGGTACCAGTCTATTCAATGCTCTTAAGGCACAGGGAAAAGAGCTGAATAATTTAAGGGAGAAATTGAGGACCTACCAGGACAGCAGCTCTCCTGCAATATAAATTGAAGACAACGCTATCATCCAGTGCATAAATCATGCAATGGGCAGCAAGGAGGTATCCTTCTTTCATGGGGGTATCATGTGGCACAACAGCATGATCCTCAGTGGGGCAAAAATCTGCAGCATGGGCTGTTGACTCCAGCCATCCCCATGTATTGTCCTGAGATTCTCCCTTGACCTGTTGATGACACCAATGAATGCAATATAATGCTGTTTGCAACAGTAAATTACAATATGGCAACTACTTCAAAATAGTGAACATGTCTCAGCTTCAGAACATCGTTGTTACCAGGGTCTGAATGCATCTGGGTTCATAGGTCAAATGTACTCACAATGACAAAATTTAATACTTCCCTATCCTCCAGTTTCTTCACTTTTTCTTGGCATTGATAATAGGTAAATTTTTATTGTCTGCTCTTTGAGTCTTTTTCATCTAGTATATTGACATTACATTAAAAGTTAATCTGGGGTAGAAGTGCTTGTTAATTAGGCCTCCTTTTCATTAGTGAATTTCACAACACATTTAAAATGTAGCCTCACTTGTTTTTATTGCTTTTGACTATGATCTCGATATTTTAAACTCAAATGGGATAAAAGAATCTACACTGGGGAAAAAATATGACAATGGGGAAAGTACATAGAATGTATGAAAATTTACTTAAGTTCACCTAGGGATCCTTCATAACTGACTTTTTAACATGCTAGATTGTGTTAAAAATCAATGAAGTTCCCTATTCTTCCTGCACTATATAAGAGTTAAAAAAAGATGTTTAGGTTCACTCTTCTGCAAAAACAAATGTGCATACTTCAATAAAACCTCTGAAACCATGATAAAGTGACTGATGGTGTTTGGAGTAGTCCATTGGCAAAATAGATTTTAACAGAGCATCAAAGTGTTAATTTAATAGTACAATGGTTAAGCTACATTAGGTGATAATTTAGGCTGTTTGACAGAGCTTCCATGCTCAAAATTCCATGATGGGTTTTTGTAAAGTGAAATTTAGTATGAATTTCTAATACAGATCGACTCTCAGTATGTAGCCACTTAACATAGACCTTCATTTAGTACATATGTACATACATACAAAAGTTTGTTACCTGGCTTTCCCTTTATCTTAATTAATTGGCTTTCAGTTTCAATTTATATATTTTTGCTTTGTATGGACCTTTGGCTAATATGCACAACTTGAGATGATGCCCATTCAAATTTGGCCTCCATAGTATCTACTTCAGGTCATAAACCATAGCATATTCACAGTATTCTCAGCATCAGTCAGAGTCTGTCCTCCTTTCTCATTGTGGGATCTATATCTGGCTTTAGGTAAGATCCCTGAGCAAAACAAAGGAGCCACCAGGTATGTGTCTGCTAATGTTGTGCAAGTGGTGTTGTTGATGTTTGTTTAGTTATTTCATTGGAGGATGGGATTAGGCCCAACAGTTGCTTTGCTTGTGAGGGCTGCTGTATACACAGAGGTTTCATTCAGAGCATTTGAGTGAATGGGTGATGTAGTCGCATGAGTCAGTCGTAAATGAATCTGTTGAACATAAAGTTCTGGCAGTGAATACCTTACTGGAAAGTAATTGCTACCATAACTATAAGGTTAAGCCTACATGATCTTTGTCAGGAATACGTAGGATGAGGGTTTATTATTTTGCATCCATAATACAAAACTGGTACATCCAAAAATGGCTTGCTTGAACCCCTTTTACTTGATGCAGGGACCAAGGAGAGAGCCTTTTCATTGATGGAAAGATGACAATCATTACAAGGTTGGAGAATGAGGAAAAACATGTGGGTGTAGCATGGTACTGGTGAACAAGCACAACTTCGTCAAATCATTGCTTAATGAGTACTTCTGACAGTAAGTACTATTTTGGTGGGAATATTTGAGTACTTACTAATGAGAACCAACCTGTAAAACATTGATAAGGAATTATTACACTTTGAAATACTTCAATGGTGCAGCTACACTGTTAATGTGAAAATGAAAGGCTTGGTTGCGCAGAGATTTGCTGGCCGAAGAATGTAGGCATACCCTACACAGCTTACAAGTAGCTTTAGTATTAGCAAGATCGCTCAGGCCTGTTAGTTTTGGCTTGAGTGGAAAAAGGAAGGTGCTAACAAAAAGTCGTCTTTCTTCAGAAATGCGGAAAAGAAAAGCTTTAAGATAATGTGGAATCTTGCTAAAATTGGCTCGAACACGAGAGTTATCCGAAGCTAACCGGCTGGGTGCCTATCGGCACCTTTTCACATCGACTCTGACGCATGGGAAGTGCCAAGCGCATTTTAGAGTAATCTGATAACGAGATGAACTTGAAAGAAAAAAGTGGAAGCGACGCAAAAATCTGGAATGGTTACACGCCACCGAACCCGATGGATCTCAGCGTAATGTTTGCTGTTAACTCACCTCCTCAGACATGTGCTCAACCTGTGTAGCCCCGTCGCCGGCCATAATAGCAACACGTGGCGCAGGGAACCAGCGTTGCCAAGGCTTGTGAGGTGCACTAGGCGAAGTCGCCTCTCCCGATCACCAAAATTGACTCATTATCTCAAGTGTAACAATGATAAGGTTGACTAGATGTCCCGATTTGGACGGGACAGTCCCACTTTCGGATCACCTGTCCCGGTGTCCCCCGGTGAAGTAAGCAGGACGCCTAAATGTCCCGATTTTTGGAAATTTCGAAGCGAGAAAATTCATTTGACCAATTTCCAAACTTTTGACTGCTTCATCCCGCTTGTGGTTAATCTGTACTCGGTTAGAGGTCAGTACTTTTCTCCCTGGTCTGTTGCATCGTCTACGATGACCGTCATGTACTCTGTTTTCCACATGCTATGCGGAAAAACATTTGACTAGACGGTCAAATATCTTGTCTTGCGAGTTTTAGAACTTCTAAACAAAATCGCATCGAGCTAAACCTAGCGATATCATGATTATGTATAACATATCTTGTCTTTTTTGTTTATCCATGGCAACTGCATATACATAAATTGGCGGTGCGAATTCGGATTCTCTTGCTTTGAATGGACCTTTGCTAATACGTATAACTTGAGATGATTCCCCATTCAAATTTGGCATCCTTAGTAAGTACTTCAGGTCATAAGCCACAGCATATATACAGTATTCTCTACATCAGTCATAGTCTGACCTCCTTTCTGATTGTGGCATCTATATCTGGTCTTAGGTGAGATCACTGAGCAAAACAACGACACCAGATATTTGTCTACTGATGATGTGCAAGTGGTATTGTTGATGTTTGTTTAGCTATTTCATTGGAGGCTGGGATTAGGCCCAACAGGTGCTTTGCTAGTGAGGGCTGCTGTATACACAAAGGTTTCATTCAGAGCATTTGGGTGAATGGGTGATGTAGTCACACATGTGTCACTCGTGAATGAATGAGTATCTATTGAACATAACAAAGTTTTGGCAGTGAATATCTTGCTGGAAAGCAATAGCTACCATAACCGTAACGTTTAGCCTAAATGATATTTGTCAGGAATGTGGAGGATGAGGGTTTATTATATTGCTTCCATAATACAAAACTGGTACAACCAAATATGGCTTGTTTGAAACCCTTTTACCTGATGCAGGGACCATAAAGAGAGCCTTTTCAGTTAATGAAAAGATGGCAATCATTACAAGGTTGGAGGAGGGGGAAAAACAAGTGGAAGTCGCGTGGGACTGGTGAACAAATACAATTTAGTCAAACCATTTCTTAATGAGTACTTTTGATAGAATGTACTATTTTGGTTGGAATATTCAAGTACTTACTAATGAGAGTCAACCTGTATAACATTGACAAAAAATTATTGCTCTCTGAAATTCTTCAATGGTGCAGCTACAGCAACTGTTAATGTGAAAATGAAAGGCTTGATTGCGCAGGGGTTTGAATGGGCAAAGAATGTAGGCTGACCCTACACAGGTTATATGTAGCTAAAGTATTATCAAGATTGCTCAGGCCTAACCGTTAGTTTTGGCATGAGTGGAAAAAGGCAGGTGCTAACTAAAGGTTCTCTTTCACCAGAGCTTTATGATAATGAGAATTCTTGATGACATTGACCTGAACACGAAAGAAATCCAAAGCTAATCGGTTGGGTACCTATCGGCACCTATTCACATCGACTCCTGCACTGACGCATGGGAAGAGCCACACACAAGTTAGAGTAATCTGGTAACGGGGCTAATCTAAGTGAACAAAAAATCTGTAATGGTTACGCACCACCAAACCCAATTAATCTTAGCGTAATGTTTGCTATGAACTCACCTCCTCAGACATGTGCTCAACCTGTGTAGTTCCGTCGCTGGCTATAATAGCAATACCACTTGGTACAGGAGAACCAGCGTTGCCAAAGGCTTATGAGGAGCACTTTGCGAAATCCCCTCTCCCGATCACCAAAATTTGCTCATCATCTCAGTGTAAAAATGATGAGGTGATCCAGTGGCGTGCCCAAGGGGGGGGGGGGGGGTTGGGGGTCATAACTCTCCCCTTGGGGTCAATTTTACAGGTTCGATTCTCACAAATTTTTTTATTCCGCCACAAATACAGGGTGGATTACCAGTTTTTTCATATGTTAATATGTTAATTAGGGTGGGTAATCAGTGTTTCATATGGCGACCCCCACATTCGGATTTCCTGGGCACGCCCCTGAGGTGATCAAATGTCCCAATTTAGACGGGACAGTCCCACTTTCAGCCCACCTGTTCAGGTGTCCTCCAATGAAGTAAACGAAACGTTTGGGCGTCCAAAGTTGTCTTCGTTTCATTTTCTATGTTCGCATATTCGACGTCGTTACGCGTTTTTGTTGAATATACATTTTTTATGATTTGATAATGCATTCTTGCATTCAGGGACAATTGAAAGGCACGTCACAATAACTTTCCCACCTCCCCCCCCCCCTAAGTTTAGGGCTTGTTGGCGCTACTGTGGAAGCACAATTAATTAAATAAATGTTCTAATTCATGTTTCTACAATAATAAATATAATTGTCAGTGCAGCAAATACATTCATATTCTTTTTAAGAGGCAATAGGCCCTACTAATTGGGCGTCCCCCTTTTGCAATCCAGAAATCTGAAGGTTTTTAGTAGAAGTTTCGACCACGAAGTTCCCGTGAATGAAGCGTTTGCTTCCTTCATCCAACTGGAGTTTTTCTTCGGTTGCGACAGTTTTAGGAAATTAAGATTTTCGAATATTTTATAATCATGTTTGGACCTGGTTGGTTGAATAATGAGATTGTCGGACCTTTTCACACTTGGAGCTCCTGAAAAGAGTCTGTGTCCTGACCACCCATATAGTTTAGGCTTCACTTTTTGGTTTAAGTCTTTTTTCGAAGCAATCTATTCTAATAATCCTTTTTTCAATTATCATGGCGCTAACGATAGAGCAGCGTTGGGAAATTGTTTTCCCCTGTACCCATAAGCTTGGTCCCAAGCTTTCTTTGGCTGCAAAGCCCGTTGGCTGCTCGAAGTCGACTTCGCATCATTGGGTCGAAGTGTTCAAAACGGAGCTGCGGACGATCAATCGACGCTCCTGGGGAGTCGGCTCGTCCTCCCATTCTGTGGTCTTTCGTTTTCTTTCCTTTCCCTGTTCGTCCTTCACGCCGTTGGTCTTTTTCAACGTTATGACAGTGATGAAAGAAGAGCTGGCCGTTGTCAGGTCATACGGTGTCAGTCGCTGCGACTCTTCGCTCTTGGATTGTCAACCACATTATAAGTCACATTATATCTGCAGTATAGTACCTATAGCCAAATTATACATAAATTATAATATATACACAATATATACAGTGAATCAACCACATTATAGCTAACATGGTAGTCAATATGTTAAGTAAGGGAAAGAAGTAGCTATATTTTAATTTGAGCATCTGCTTAAGGAAAAGAACTGAAGCAATTTATAGAATTGGACTTCCATACTTTTCTTCCTGCTGTGGCTCAAAACTCGGGTTTCTTTGACTCGCAAAAATACCTTGATATCTCAAAATCCCAATTCCAAAACTGGTGTGGAATTCACTCAAAGAGGGATGGGCTTTTAAAAATTGCAAATAATCTGAACTATTATCAGCATTTCTGCTCGAGTACGGAAATTTACTCGGAAATCGAAGGAAACAATATGCAGAATGGCTCACAGTATAATGTCATAATTGTCATATCCGCTGTCTCACTTTCTTTGGTAGCTCGGCATTGGGGCTTCAGGCAGGGCAGAAGTAAAATAGCAAATCTGGCATTTCACAGAAGTGGAATTTTATTGGCTAAAGGAGACAGCATGGCAGTACCGCTGATGACCTAAAAGTTTTGCTTATTACAGCGGAACATGAAATTTTTTTTACCACTTCTGAAAGTATTCTCCATCAGCAGCAATGTACGCCATCCTCCATCAACAACGTCTTTCGAAACCAATTCTCATGCTTTCCACCAGCGGCGGCTCGTGATATTTAGCGCTAGCGGTTCGTCTATGGAGAGGGGACAGGCAGGGGAGGGCACTGCCTGCCCCCTCTCCATGGTCTCGCAACTAGCACTAAATATCACGAGCCGGCACTGCTTTCCGCATGTCTTTCGAAAACCCTACTAAGATTTCGAGAAAAGTTCCTGGTGAGAATAGCTGTGAGTCATAGTGTGGGAGAGTGCCGCAATCCCGCCATCCTCTTCGGCTTTGCGCTGTCGGACACGACTAACAGGCATTCGGTCGAGTTCCTTGTCGTAGTCCGGACAAAGGCAGCTGTCATTTCTCCAACTGAGCGGGTGATGACTGATGCACGAACGAAGAGAAGATAACTTAAAAAATGGCATGCCTAACGGTCCTGGAGTGCTTCACATTGACTTGGGCAGTCTCATCAGCAAAGAGCCATACCTTGTTCTGACGCTTGAAAAGAGGATCATACGATTAGAACGTTAGTTCATCCCTGGATAGGATATCGAAAACCAACTCAGATGGGCTTCCAGAAAATTGGGGAAGCACGAAGAGGGGGAACTCCGAGCGGTGCTGGTTCTGGTTCTCGTCGAGTTGAGGAGGGAACGATCAACATTCGCTCTCAGGATTACCGGTATGTCTGAGGTAGCAGAAAAAATCTGAAAATATGATTCATCCACGGACGGGACGGGTTGATGCTCATCTTCACGGTCCTTTTTGCCGGATTCGAATTCATTGTACTTACGTTTGATGGTGCGCTACAAAAGGGCACTCTGTCCAAGAATTTCTTCTTTCTCACTTCGTTACTACTTTTATTCCTTGTTCAAAGTTATAAGACATGATGGTCCTTAGGACACATCGAGACGGTTATTGGGTTGTTTGTTGTAGCTGTTCCAACACGTCATCACGAAGATAACATAAGCAGGTGTGTTTTATATGCATACTAACCGGCGTGATTTCACTTCGGTAAGTGAGATAATGCTGTAGCATGCACAAAACTCTAGCAAACTCTAACCAGAATTGATGGAATTGATTCAGAGAACTTTGGAATTAACATGTTT